GGTCTCCTAACGCCGCCCGCGTCCCCGCTGGAGCTCCTGGAAGCCAAGCCCAAGCGCGGCCGCCGCTCCTGGCCCCGCAAGCGCACGGCCACTCACACCTGCAGCTACGCCGGCTGCGGCAAGACCTACACCAAGAGCTCGCACCTCAAGGCGCACCTGCGCACTCACACAGGTGGGCGGCGCGCGCGCACGGACGAGGACGGGGGCGCGGGCGGAGCGGGATTCGATCCGGGCGCGCGCGAGTGGAGAAAGTTCTAAATCTCTTTGCGGGCGTGGCTTAGGAGATCCAGGAGGGAGCGGGAGCCCGTGCAGGACTCCTTGGGGGCGTGGCTCAGTTGGTTGGGGAGGGGGCGCGCATTTAGAAGCCCTGGGGGCGTGGCTATGTAGAATTGGTCCGAGGACATTGGGGTGGGGGTGCACGCATAGGATCTTCTGGAGACAGAGCTCGAAGTCCCTAGTAGAAATTGGGGCGGGGGCAGGGTATGGGTTTAGGAGTCCTAAGAAGACGCTGTGTGAAAAAGTTGGGGAGGGGTGCATGTTCGAGACCCCTTTGGGGGCGTAGTTAGGATTTGAAACCCAGGGGGTACGCTATGGCTCAGAATGTTGGAGAGGGTGCATGCTTAGAACCCATGCCCGAAACACTGGGGAGTGGCCAGTGTGCAATTTGGGCACACATACCCCCATCCCCCGGGGACGAGAATCAGGAGGGCTAGGAGTTGAGGACAGGTGCCTAGGGTCTCTGAGGGTCAGGACGTCGAGGGGTGCCCTTCGGGGCGCCGAGTGGGGATAGGGTGCTGCAGATGCCCGTGCACTGTGTCCCCGGAGGGAAACTGAGTCCCCTGTCCTCTGACCCCGCAGGCGAGAAGCCCTACCACTGTAACTGGGACGGCTGTGGTTGGAAGTTCGCGCGCTCAGACGAGCTCACGCGTCACTACCGCAAGCACACGGGCCACCGGCCTTTCCAGTGTCACCTGTGCGACCGTGCCTTCTCACGCTCGGACCACCTGGCCTTGCACATGAAGCGACATATGTAACCCGGATGTCCTGCCCACCTGCCCGTGCGCGGCCGTGGCGGGTCCCATGTGCCGGGTGCGACACCCCCCTCTCTCCCCTTTCCAAACTGTGATTGATATTTATTGGATCTGAGGACCGGGCTGGGCACAGTGTGGCCACGGAGGGGCTCTCCCGACGACGATGACGACGCCACCGCCCCAGCCTCCATGGTGACTGAAGACCCTGGTGGGAAAAGACCATGACTCCCTCCTTGACGAGTTTTGTTTTTCAAAATGGTGCAATAATTAAGTGTCGTCTTCCCTCCCACCCGGTCTGCACTAGAGGATCGCGGCTCGGATGCCTTGTGAACAATTCAGCAATAATTTGTACTGTCTGCGACGTTTTTTATAATATTGTACATAGTGACTGTGACCGATATTGTATTACTGTAAATAGGGGACAGAGAAACGTCATGACTGGTGTTTTTTTAAATGACTTTCTGGCTTTTTTTTTTAATTAAAAAGTTTTTTTTTTTTTTTAATGAAAAAGTTTGCATTTTTGGGGGGAATAAAAATCCCAGCTCTGGTTAGCTGTTTGGAAGTGGAGGGCTTAGAGGGTACTTGGGGAAGGGTCTGGGGCAGGGGTGGGGGGGTTACAGCTTTGCTGACAGGGAGCCTGGCAGAGAGGCACCGTGTGAAGTGGGTTTTGTCCTGGCCAGCGCCGAAAATACCAGCTGCAAACCCCAGCTGCCAGGAACCTGTGGGTTTTACTATAAATTTAAACACTGCCTTTCAGGACTGAGAGAGGGTTATTTTAAGGTGGGTCCTTAAACCCATAAATTGCTTCCTTTCCCTCAGATCGAGAGAAAGTGTCAGTCGGACTGACGTGGCCTCTTCTGAACTAGCTCTTTCTAGAAGCTTCTGAGATTGCAGCCAGACACTTGGGAGTATGCAGGTTTTTTTATTACTTTTGTAAAGATTCTCCCATAGGGCATGGGTGCTTGCTGGAGAGACAGAGAGGCAGTGAGAGGGAGAGTGAGAAATCACCCCCACACGGGAGATGGCCACACTGCAATCCCTTCTCCATTCTCCTGGGATTATGGGGCATACACACGCACACACACCCAGAGTGAGTTTCAAGTTGGTGGGTCTGGGACTCGAACCATAGTCTACCATGTTGGGAGTCTAGGATCTTAACCCCGATGCCACCTGCTGACTGCAATTAGGTGTTTTTTGTTTGTTTGTTTGTTTTTACAAGGGGTATAATGCTGAATTTCTGACAAGTCTTACAACTTTTTACAAGTCTTACCCTTGAGCAAACTTTTCTTACCGTCTGAGTTCCCCATTCTGTCCGAAAATAATGACATGGACATTTAAAGATCATACGTGGAGCTCTTTTCCAGATAAGGAGACAGACCCAGAGAGATAGCCAAGGAGCGGTAGAATCAGGGTGCTCGGGACCAGCAGTTAGTGTTAACGGCTATGTCGCTGGACTCCCATGTAGTCGACCGCAGTTCGCGTCCCGGATCCGGTGGCTTAAACTCACACCGGGCGCGTGTGCGTGCGTGCCCAAGATCCCGAGAGGAGAATGGAGGAGGAGGGATTGTGATGTGGCCATCCCCCCTGGGGGGTGATTTCTCGCTTTCTGTCTCTCTGTCTGTCTCTGTCTTTCTGGCGAGCACACGTGCCCTATAGTGAAAACGTCCCCCCCCAAAAAAATATCACGGTGCTCGTGTGCCCAAACCCTGCTAGAGAGGAATCTGGTTTCCTGGAATGACACACCTGTTGCATCCGAGGGCTCCCTGCAGGAGCCTGGGTGCAGAAGATTCACAGGAGACAGAGTGACTGGAGGTATGACTAGTCTAGAACCCCCCTGCTACAGAAGCACAAGAAGACCCTTGCACCCTCCTGAGATGTCCCATGTTCAGCAAAGAAGTGCCCCTCCCCAGCGGGTTCTCCAGCGCCTTCACGCGTTTTTAGGGTAACCACGGGTAACCCTGGTCACCAGCAATTGCACCAATTCTTTCCAGAAAGTGAAAACAGCTTGTAAGCGATGCCGGTTTGAAAACACTCTCACCCCATTGCGACAGAGGCTGGGATTTCCTCCCTCCCTCCATCCTTCCTCCTCTCCCCACCCCCCCCACCTCCTCCCCCCCCCATAAAAAGCAGAAATGGAAGATGACAATCTGATTCATCTTTCAAGAGTAAATAGATCGGGTTCACTTCCGCTCGTCACCGCGAAGGGTGTGAGTGTTTTTCAGCCTGTTCCCTCTTCGTGTAGCTTCTGCAAAAATAAAAACTAAAAAAAAAAAAATAAAAATACAGAATCGTGACCCTTCCACCCGTGCTCATGCCGTTCCTTGTTTCTCAGTGCTGGTCTCTGCAATGCAGAAGAAAAGCACAGAATCGGCCCTTTCTTTTTCTTTCTTTTTAAAAAAAGAATTCTTTTATTTAACTTTATTTATTGATTTTAATTTGACCACAGAGGGACAGAAAGAGAGAATGAGAGAAAGCAAGCCACCAGGTCCGGGACTTGAACCATGGTCAGCCATGTGGGAGTGCAACGCCCTTAACCACCATGCCACCTGCTGGCCCCACCTTTTATTATTTTTAAAAATGTCTTTATGTCTCCCATGAGTGAGAGAAACAGAGACGGAGAGGCAGGAGCTGCAATAGGGTTTCGATGCTGTGATCCACCCCTCGGCTCAGCCAGTTCCAGGTCCTGGGTGTATGTATGCCTGGTGTACTTGGGGAGGTCTTCAGACTCGAACCTGGAACCTTCTCATGGGGCTCAGCTGAGCACCTCTGCACCACATCCAGCCCCCAGTGGATCTTGAGTTATATATATATATATTTGGGGGGGTGGGGAAAGGTTTTTGCCTTAGAGTGCATGTGCTCGCCAGAGAGAGACAGAGACAGAGAGAGGGAAAGTGAGAAATCACCCCCCAGGGGGGATGGCCACGCCACAATCCCTTCTCCTCCATTCTCCTCTCGGGATCTTGGGCATGCACGTACTAGCATTTTTTAAAAATTATTATTCATTCATTTATTTTAATTTGATCAGAGAGAGACAGAGAGAGAGAGAGAGAGAGAAAGTGAGAAAGCAAGCTGCCAGGTCCAGGACTTGAACCATGGTCAGCCACATGGGAGTGTGCAGCACCTTAGGCACCATGCCACCTGCTGGTCCCCCCACCCCCAGCATCATTTTCAAGCTACTGGGTCCAGGACTCGAACCATGGTCAGCCACGTGGGAGTCCAGCGAAATCACCAATAGCCACCTGCTGGCCCCTCCTCACGTCCTAAGTGTAAGGCTCCCCAGTCTTCCAGGTTGAATTCAAACTTGGGGGTTGCAGCCGATCCCTGGAGGCCTCTGAGTTCAACGTGAGGTTGGTTGTTAGGGGACCGAAGCTGTTAAGTTTCTATTTCCTGAGTCCCTTTAATTGAGAGACTAGAAAGTGTCATCCTCAGAGAGCTGTATATTTCAGCAAAAGACACCGGCCCGGGCGGCACGAGCTCACGCTGGCTGATCCAGACACAGCCCTCTTAGTTCCTGTCGCTTTCTGAAATGCAAATGCCACCTGCCGTCTTCTGGACCTGTGGTTCTCAGCCAGGAGCAACCCAGTCCAGGAGACATATTTGGTTGTCATGAGATGCTTCTGGCATCTTGCAGGAAGAACCGGGGGACGCTGCTAAATGCTCTGTGATGAATAGAACGACCCTATAGCAAAGACCCCGACTGTCTATAGGGCTGACATTGAGAAATTCTACCACGGTGAAGCCTGTCTGTTTTATCGGTCTTATGTTTTTGGAGTGGGAGAGATTTTTGCTATAAAGTGCAAGCTCTCACCTGGAGACACACAGAGACAGAAAGTGAGAAATCACCCCCCAGGGGGGATGGCCACGCCACAATCCCTTCTCCTCCATTCTCCTCTCGGATCTTGGGCATGCACGCATACGCGCCCGGCGTGAGTTTAAGCCGCCAGGTCTGGGACTTGAACCACCATTGACCACGTGGGAGTCCAGTGACATAAACATTATGCCATCTGCTGGCCCCTGGGGTTTTTTTTTTTTTTTTTTAGAGAGGTTTTTGCTATAGGGCACGTGCGCTCACTGGAGAAACAGAGAGAGACAGAGAGACAGAAAGCGAGACATCACCCCCCCCAGAGGGGATGGCCATGCCACAATCCCTTCTCCTTCATTCTCCTCTCCGGATTTTGGGCACGCACGCACACGCGCCTGGTGTAGGTTTCAAGTTGCCAGGTCCGGGACTCGAACCGCCATTGGCCATGTGGGAGTCCGGTGCCTTAGCCACTTTTCCACCTGCTGGCCCCAATGGGAGATTTTGGTTTTTTTTTTTACGTTTATTTCTTCCATGAGCAATAGAGACAGAGAAGCACCTTCAACCAGCTACCACCCACTCCTCACCTCAGGTGGGCAGGATTGTGGATGCACATCCACACCCTATGCATACAGGGTGACCTCGGGTCTCGAACCCAAGACCCTCCCACGTGGGTCCCGCATCCCAGCGCATTGAGCCATCACTACACCACGGGCTGGTCCCTCGAAAGGCTTTTGACATGGCCGAGAAGGCGTGGTGCTGGGGAAAGCTGTGAGAGCCATGTTTCTGGCATTTCCTGTGTGTTTGGGGGTGCGAGCGCCCAGGCAGGCTGCAGAAGGGTGTGGTGTGAGGTGGGGGGAGGAGACAGCTGTCAAGGGCAAGGTGTCTTCTCGGGGTTCGTCTCTGACTCAGCGCCCTGCTTCATCCACACGGCTGAGTCAGCTCCCAGGCCTGGCGGCGCCCAGGAGGAGTCCCAAGGTGATGGGCCAGGACTGGTGCTAAAGGCCCCCGTGCTGGGTGGCTGGGATCACCTGTACCCCTCTGACCAGCGTGTGCCTGGCCCGGCGTGTCTTCACCCTGGTACCCGCGACATCTGGGGTGGGAGGGTTCCCGGTGCAGGGGGCTGCTCTGTGCATTGAATAAGCACCCCCTCGTCTCCACAGCTGCACGGCCAGCTCCGACCACTGGACACTCCTGCAGACATGGCCGTGGCCCTTGGCGGGACAGGGAAGGAGGAGGGTACTCCAGAGTGAAAACCACAGGGCTTAGGAGGCTCTGTTCACATTTATTTATTTATTTTTTTAGAGAGGTTTTTGCTATAGGGCGCGTGTGCTCACCAGAAAGACAGAGAGACAGAAAGCGAGAAATCACCCCCCAGGGGGGATGGCCACGCC